AGCAAGGAGCCCGATGTGGGACTCGATCCCAGGACCCTGGGATCATGACCTGAGCCGAAGGCAGACGCTTAACCGACTGAGCCACCCAGGTGCCCCTGAAATATTCTTCTTAAACGGGTCACAAATTGGCAGGCTTTATTCAGCCAATAAGATTATCTGGCTCAATATTATTTAAATGTTGGATAAAAATAAAATATTATTTAAATGCCTGGGTGGCGCAGTCAGTTAAGTGTCCAACTCTGGATTTCTGCTCAGGGCATGATCTCAGGGTTTTGAGATCGGGCTCTGCACTGGACATGGAGCCTGCTTAAGATTCTCTCTCTCCCTCTGCATTTCCCACCACCCCCCCTGCATTTTATTATATATTTTCTATTTTATATTTTATTATATATATATTGTAACTTATATATATTATATTTAGTTGCTAATGTGAAATAAAAGGAGACAGGTAGGAATGTAAATTGTTACAACCCTCTTTGGAAAAGTACTGACCTACCGAAGCTGACATGACAGTTTGCTTCTAGGTATTCAACAGGAAGTCATACACATATTCACCAGAAGACATATATGGAATGTTATGGTAGCATTATTCATAATATTCAAAACTGGAAATTGCTCAAATGCCCATCAGCAGTAGAATGGATAAATTGTGGTATATTCACACAACAGCAATATAGTAAAGCAAAGAGAATGAACAGACTAGAACTAAATGCAGCAAAATTGGTGACTCTCAACAGATGCTGAACAAAGGAAGTCAGGCACAAAAGAGTATATTCTTTCTGATACAAGAAACTCCATTTTGTATTTATATTAAGTTCAAGAACAGGTAAACCAGTGGGTCTCAATGTGGTATAATATTGTTCCCCAAGGGGGATTTGGCAATGTCTGAAGTCCTCTTTGGTTGCTATAACTGGAAGAGACCAGGGATGCTGCAAATCACCCTACGGTGCAAGGGACAGTCCCTCACAACAAAGAACTATCCCTGGGCTAAACTAATCTGTACTGTTGGTGGAAGGATGGTGGTTTCCCTTGGGTGGGAAGGGGTGTGATTGTGGCTCTGGTGGGTGGTAATGTTTTGTTCTTGATTTTAGTGCTGGTTACAGGGTCTGTTCAGTTTGTGACAATTCATTGAACTGCATGCTTATATTTATGCAGCTTTCTGTAGGTATTTTCCACTTCAATCAAAAATTTGTAGGGACGCCTGGGTGGCTCAGTCGGTTAAGCGTCTGCCTTCAGCTCAGGTCATGATCCCAGGGTCCTGGGATCGAGTCCCGCATCGGGCTCC